TGCAACTGAATGCTCCTGTTGTGGACATTTCATTCTGCATGAAAGTGCAAGAAGAACCGATTCGTAGGTCGGTCTCACCAGAAGACGACGTTCGAATCCTGTTTTGGCTGAACTTTCGTGCATCATCTGATCTACATCGTCAGAGCCGCAATTAATTCTTGTCAAAGTCCAAAAGACTCTGCGCATCTGCATTGACTGTGTTTCATTTTTGTGACACGAAATGCAGAGCAACATGCATGCTTTCGCTTTGTGTCGGCTTTTGAAAGATGTACTTATTGGTTTCGCTTGAACTGAAGAGAAAAGAAGCTAAATGCAGGCGAGTGAAAACAACATACAATCCGGACTGGGCACTGGCAAAGAGGTAAATGTGAAATTTTAATTATTTTCCAAAAATTACCTTCACAATCCACCTTGCTCTGATCGTCTTTGTAAGCATGCTCCTCTCCAAAATGCCACTAGATGAAATAGAGAAATTAAAAAAATTCTTTTAACACTTCACCCGGTTTGCAAATGTTACAATATTTGATAACTTATTGTTTCGATATTTACGTGAAAATGCTGTAACTTTAAGCCATTCGATCGCATTCTAAAGTCATTACGACAAATATGTTACGCAAGCTGTATTCACTTCGAGCGGAATGACAGCAGGTTCGACATTTAGAGCTGCCAACCACAAGCTCTTCTCATCCGGACCATGCTCTTTCTGGCAACCAGTATTCCTTCATTTCATACACGACCTGGTTCCACATCAAGTCGTCAAAAACACCGCCGAACAATTTAGGCAAAAGAGGCAGTTGCGGCAGTGCCAAGTGCTTGTGCCGGAGACAAGCGAGCAAGCTGGTCGCTGTAAAAAGTCGAAACAATGTCATGCAACAAAGCGAGACCACGACCATCTTAAAGGCTACAGCCTCCAAGTCCTTGTTTCCAAGGGCACGTCCTGTCCGAACGTGTGGGCAGAAGCGTTCGAACGGTCCAAGCGATAGGCCGAACAGATGCGCTTTTTTGTCTGACCGAAGCTCAGTCTCGTTTGCTGCAACTTGCCATGTCTCATACTACTAGCGCTACTACTAATAATGATTAAAAAAATAAAAAAATAAATGATAATAACAAGAATAAATATATTAATTTTAATATACCAACATTATATTGTTATATATTAAAAATTTGATTAATTTGTGATAATAATAATACTAAAGGCTGTTGATATTATTATGATAATGCCATTTTCTCAGGCTAAACCGAACTATTATTCAGGAACACGAATTTTTCCAACAACATTTCGGAGGCCAAAAATACTGACTCAATGGCATTTTTGAGAGAACATGTTTAGTCTCAGACGCATTGTGTAAACATACTAATAATGAAGTTGCCTAACATCATGCTTTCCTACTTTTCACAAAACACCTTTTCATGTCTTTCAGACAATATGTTACTCAAGTTACTGTCCTCTTGCTGAGACTTGTACAGGAATGACGCCCGAGGAGACAAGAAGTTGTCGTATTA